TCTGGGAGTTGAAGTCCACCCATCTTAAAGTGGCTGAGATTGAGAAACACTGCACTAACGCATGGTTTGTTTTAGCCAGCTTTGACAAACCACCGTGGAGAGTTTGCACAATATGCGAAGTCCAAGTCAAACATTATGGTTTAATGCAAAGTGTACACTCAGTCTATTTGGGGTGACCTCATAAGTATCCTGGGACTTGAAAACATGCCAGCCCCTTCTGATTGCCCCTAAAAGTCATTTACCAAAAGACATACAATTCTAGAGCGGTTACTGAATCAGAGCTGGACTGATCTGAATTCCAGAGCTCACTTTACCACTTCCCTTGGCTTTTAGGTGTCCAAAAACCTTTCGAAGAATTTCATGACTATTGTGGCTTTCCCTCTCCTTCCATTTTTGAAGCTGATCCTGGATGTTTTTTTTTAAGTTACCCCCTTGGGGCGGGATGTTTGGCTCATAAACAATTTTTAATAGATCTGGTTTTGATAGATTGCTTTTCTTTTAAACAAAACTACATTTTATTTTTGTTTATTCCCTTGTGAGGCTGACATTTCACCATTCTATTTTCAAACTCCCCCTCCTTGTTATCTTCTCGATTTTCTGGGATAATCTTCCTCAACTTTAATCTGAGTGCAAGTGAATCTGTCACATCTGCTCGGGATTGGCAATAATTTTCCTTTCCAGTCCCCTTCCCCTTTCCTTAATCTTTAGGCCAAATTGCTATGCAGCTGGGAACATACAATCTTTAACTAAAGGTCTGATGGAAGATTAGAAGCCAATATATAATTTTATCCATTCTAAGTTTTTTTTTTATTGTAAAACAGTTTACTGTTTTTAAAAGCCACTTCATTTTATGCTTTAATCCCAGTTCTACATTTTTTCCTTGTAATTACTGTATTGTTTCCATTGTATGTTTCCAATTAGCTTTCTTTCTGTAATGTGCTTTTATTTTTCTCTATTTATTTGTTTATTCCTTTTGTATCCTGCCCCTATCTCAAGACTCTGGACAGTTGACAACAGAAAACAAGGCGGAAAATATAATCAATAAAAGCATGTATTGTATCTCCTAAATGCTGAAAAATAAATACGTAAACAAAACAGATCGATAGCCTAAACCTGGCTCCTTTAACATCCTTATTATTCAAATCCCCTGTAGAACAAAATTGTTTTAACCAACATCTTAAAAATAAAAAGGGGGCAATCAGACCGCATACAGGGTGGGAATTCAAAGCAAGGAAGACTGTACTGGACAGGCAGATTTTTACTCGCAAGAGGGACTTATACAGATGTGATACATGTAAAAAAAGAGATGGGACCTCAATCATTCATTCCCCATCTTGATTTTTTTTACACTCACCCCCAGCCACCCCTGTCTAGTGCCTTTATCTCCCAAATCCAATTCCTATTTTTGCTGTGATTTAAAGAATTCTTTATACTATATTGCACTGACACTGTCTGCACAGACTATTTTCTTAATATTCTTTTTGAAAACACTCTGCTTAACAACTCCATCAGATACTCCAGCCATTTTATGGGACATGCCTGCAGTCTTTTGTCTCATTATATTGGAGTAAGTTCTATTAAATCTAGTCACGCTTACTTCTAACGGTAGGAGTTCAACTCGTAAAATGTACCAAGGTTAAAGACAGGATAATCAGTCTGCTGAAACAGGCAGTTTTAGTTTGAAAGAAAACAATTTGACTCAGAAGTATTTGTTAACCTAAACTTTGACTATATGTTGGAGCAGTGTTTCTCAACCTTGACAGATGTGTGGACTTCAACTCCCAGAATTCCCCAGCCAGCCTTG